CTGACCTGGAGATCTGCCACATCTTCACTCATTCTGGCAGATCTCAGCTTAGTCACTTACTAACAGGATTTGTTATGGAACAAATACATGAATAAGATAACAAATTCTTTGAACCCCAAATTAGGGAAGGGAGAGATCTCATTTTAACTGATAAAGGAAGTGGGGTGCTTTGTTTTTTTCATTCAAACTTGGTGATGAAAAGAAGCTTGCTCCCCCCTGCTATATTTTCACCCTTACAAAGGCTAAATTAAACAAAAACCTACATACCATAGCATAGACCATACAGTTGGCTAAAATAGATGGGCCTGGCTATACTTTTTCTTTTCTCCCAAAAGAAAAATGCTTAAAGTGAGGATGGGTGAAATGCCACCCACTTCTTTTTAGACAAATAGAGCCTGGCCTAACCATCCTACTTCCCTTTCCTACTTTGAAACCATCCAACCCCCTACAAAACCATTCCATTTTGTGCACTGCACCAAGTCACTAAGTGGTACTCAAACTCAGAATACTGGGAGGGGGCATGGCTGCTTACTGTGGTATGGTATCACTTTAAATGCATAGTGGGATGCGATGGGGTTCTGTATTATAGCCCACAGCAGGCATCAGACAACATGGTGCCCTGCGATTTAATGGACTACCATTCGCCAACAACTCCTGCAGGCAAGCCATGTTGGCTTACCCCTGCGTCTCTTGAACATTCCAGGTTTCTTTGAAAAAATACAAGTTGTAGTCAGGTAACGATGGAGCAAAAGTGCCTGATCTCTTCTTTAGTCAGGTTCCCAAGATGGGAGCAAACCGTTTCAATCTTCATCCACCGCCTCTTTCCCCCGGTCTCGGATTCTGCCAGTCATCTCTGCCAGTCCCATATAATCGATCACCTTCGTCTGCCATTCTTCCAACGTGGGTAGATCTTTTCATTTCCAGCAGTTCCACAATGTCTATTATATTCCTCACATTATCAGACATATGTCTCCCGGGAGAAAGCAGCTTGGTCTCATTTAATCTTCTCGTCTTTTTCTAGAATGTCTGCAAATATTTGTAATCCATTTATAATATATCGCGGTAGTTTAACTCTCTCTCAAGCTTTCCACGTTTCCCCCTTGTTTCATGCAAACTTCTTTCAATGTGCACTAAACATTCTTCAACTTAAATATCTAGCCGCAACCATCGGTCCTGAAAGTGCCTGATCTCTTCTTTAAGGCCATGCTAAAGACAGAGCAAGGGGGGAGGAAGTGTTGGTCAAGGCTCACACAAGCCTTTTGATTTAAAACCCCACACTTCATGTTCTCTCATTCCCCTCCCCTGACAAAGTTATTCTCACATGTCTCCAAGGGACTCTCCCCACAATCAGTTTTGTGCATTAAATACACTTTTGTTTCCTATACAGTGCACACAGCAAGGCTGACTATTGAACTTCCCTTACAGGGATATCACATTTCCCCTAACAAAGAAACCATTATATTTTGGAGCTGGGGAAATGCTATCTCCCCCCCCCCTCCGCCCCCGCCAGGTGGTATATTTGTTTCTTGTGCAATTCTGGCACCTGTGGGATGATCTTTGTGTTCTGGTGGATATGCTTCTGATACAAACTGCCGTTCCACGTACCCACACTATTTTGTGATCTGTTTTAAAACATACAGTACTTCTGATTTTTATTTTTTAAAGATCTCTCTAGGCTCCCCCACAATCCAATTTAACTCATCTAGCTGCTTCTTCTTTTAGCTGGCAAATCTGCTATGAAGTTGCATATATACATATACCTGTGTTAGTACACATATACCTGTACAAGTTTTTCAAAATTCTTGGGAACATTTGCCTTTCCTTGCTCCTGTTCTACAGCACACATTTAATCTTTTTTAAAAATGTAAATGTGAGAGAATGTCAATAAACTGCTGCATTTTCCCCACCCTATTTTGTGTGCATGTGATATCATACTGCTGGCATTGAGAAGACTTGCAGCTAAGTTGTAGTGTTGAAGCAATGATTCTTCAACATCAACTTTGTTGGACTGGTCATGTTGTGCGGATGCCTGGTGATTGTCTTCCAAAGCAACTACCGTACTCTATTCTGAACTTAAAAATGAAAAGCATAATGCTAGTGGTCAACAAAAGAGGTTTAAAGACTGTCTCAAGGCAAATCTTAAAAATGTAGTATAAACACTGACAACTGGGAAACACTGGCCTACGAGCGCTCCAGGTGGAGAATAGCCTTTACCAAAGGTGTTTTGAAGACACTCGAACTCAGGACGCAAGGGAGAAACGTGCTAAGAGGAAGGCATGCTTGGCAAATCCACACCGTGATCAACTCCCGCCCGGAAACCAATGTCCCCCCTGTGGAAGGACGTGTGGATCCAGAATTGGCCTCCACAGTCACTTACAGACTCATGTTAAAACTGTGTTTATGGAAGACAATCTTACTCGGCTACGAGTGAGTGATCACCAAAGAAGAAGAAGAAGACAGTTGAGACACACTGCAACTGATTATGCAGACAGGATGGGCAGTTCCTTTCTACTAAAACCCCCTGTGTCTTTATCAGCTGCCCAGCAGACAGAAATCTAGCACAGAAAGACTGCCTATCAATTTCCATGGCAGGAAAAGCCTCTGCTAATTTCGCCCCCTGCCACAGCTGTTAAACACCTACCATAAAAAATGTTGACAACCCTGCATTCAGAGAGCTCTCCATGTGTGATCTCTCACCTGTCATTTCTCTCACAAACAAACTACACTTATATATACTGAATATCAAAACAACTATTTAACTTCTATCTTCGTTCTATTTTTTACCATTTCATTTTGTTATGGGGGGGGGGAATGTTATTGAAAGCAGGTATTTTATATATCAGTTATCAGAGAGATTAGAATACTGTAAGCCAGGGGTCAGCAAACTTTTTCAGACCTTGTGGGGGGCCGGACTATATTTTGGGGGAAAAAATATGAACGAATTCCTACGCCACACAAATAACCCAGAAATGCACTTTAAATAAAAGGATACATTCTACTCATGTAAAAACTGGATTTAGAAAGCGATTGGGCCGGATCTGGCCCCAGGCCTTTGTTTGCCTACCCCTGCTCTAAGCCATAACCAGCTTTTAGAACACTAGCATTTTACCCAACCAGCTTGCCAGTCAGACTTCCACAGAGAAAAAATTACATATGTTACTGTGTTAGATCATCAAACTACTAGTGGAAGGTCAAATATCTACATGCTTCTACTATGCTGTCTTATGTCTTTAATAATATTTTAACAATAAAAACAAAAACTTTGAAGCTCAAAGGCAACTCAGTCCTCATTTTAAATTGGAAGCAAGTTCCACTTACGTCAACTTTCCAAGTTGCATTACAGTTTTTGGAAAACCACCATGCCAAATGTAAGTTGAGAAAACAATTGTATGATTTGCAACTTATTTACATAACTGAAATCTAACAGAATGCAACATATAGTGGCTTGTAAACAAAGTAAAATATAAAAGTGGGAAACAATTGTTCACAGATTCCAAGAATAAAACATCTATTCTTCCTTATGGATTGTGATTGTGCTTCAGCAGGCTGAATGAGGCTACAGTCATAGACAAACTTCCTTGGAAGTAAATGCCACTGAACCTATTTGGATTTCCTTCCAGACAAACATGCATAGGAACAAACTGCATAAGATTCTTCTCAGAAACTTTCCTACTAAAATGATTTTTTCCCTACGGAATATTACATACTACACACAAACCTGCCTCATGAGTACCATACTTTCCCAAAGATTTAAATCCAAAGTCCTACACTACTTTAAAGTGGGCAGCATCCGACTACTATAAAGAGGAGCTGAAAGGAATTTGGAAAGGAAATTGATGTCAGTACTGTGGTACCTCGGGTTACATACGCTTCAGGTTACATATACTTCAGGTTACAGACTCTGCTAACCCAGAAATAGTGCTCCAGTTTAAGAACTTTGCTTCAGGACAAGAACAGAAATCGTGCTCCGGTGGCATGGCAGCACCAGGAGGCCCCATTAGCTAAAGTGGTGCTTCAGGTTAAGAACAGTTTCAGGTTGGGAACGGACCTCCGGAACAAATTAAGTACTTAACCCGAGGTTCCACTGTAGTATCTAATTCACAAACATCTCGCACAACATCCAAGCATAAATAACTAACTGCTTCTCTCATACACATCCTGGAGGGGAAAAGACTGGCATCCTCCTTCTCCAAGAGCCACACTCCCTTCCAGCCACACAAACATTTTTGGGAACGTGTCTACAGAACTGGTGTCTCTCTTGTGGAATTAAAGTGCCCTGATAGAAGAAGGAATGTCCAGCCCCCTTCGAGGGAGCTGCAAGGTTCTAATCTGGAACCCAGCACAGCAGCACCATTCTGAAGAGCCCACATGCCTAAATGGAAAGAAGAACCAACACAGAGTCTCGCTTAAAAGGCTAACTTTAAGGGGTCACAAGACTTGGGTTGCTTTTGCTGCAGGGGACTTATACACCGCCACCCCTCTGAACGTAAAGAAGTTTGACATTACTGTGCTTCAACTGCAGGACACAAAACGAGCGCATAGTATTTCTGCAGCCATGAGACATGGCGTTTGTATGTCTTTTATAAGAACACCCGTTAGCAGAAAAACTTCAGGAACCACCAAGTTGAACCCCGTTTGCTCTGGAGAAGATGGGGTGAAAGAGGGCATCCATATCTCTCCTCCTCGCTAGAAACTACTACCTCTAGACCAGCACACCACTATTATTACATCCTATAATAGCTCAAACTGGGAAGGAAACTTCCCAGCCGTCTAGTCCGGCTTGTCAATGCTCCTTGGCCCAAGGAATCCCCTCCCTCATTGCCAAGAAACTGCCCTTGTTCCAGATGGACGACCCCACCCCCCACCCCAGTCGGTGTCTGGAGTATCTGCTACTTTTGCGAAGTTGCCCCCAGGTCAGCCAAGCGCTGCCTTTCCTCGGCGCCTCCCCGCCCCGCTGGCTGCCCCCTCAGGCCCTCCTCCTCCCTCTTCCCGCCCTTTACCTTGAGGTAATCGTTCTCGGAGCGCAGCTCTTCGATCTCCCTCAGCAGCTCCTCCTCGTCGACCACCAGCTGCCTCTCGCAGGAGGGAAGCACCACCAGCGGGGCTTTGCCGCCCAGCCTCAGGCTCCCCGCAGGCGGCGCGCTTTTGGCGGGCGCCGCTTTCTCCGGGGCTCTACCCCAGTTCGCCTCGTCGCCCGGCGGCTGCTCCACGTTGGCGGCTCCCGAGGGAGCCGGGGAGGCAGGTGGCGGCCCTTTGCTGGCAGCGTCCGAAGAAGGCGAGGCAGGCTGAGGGGCGACGCCTGGCCCCGGGGGCAGAGCAGGGGGCGCTGGCGGCGGCTGCTCGCGTTCCCGGTCGCTGGAGCCGGTGCCGGACTCCGCGTCGCTGCTGGCGGCCTGAGCCAGCCTCTGCTCGTCGGAGAGCGGCTCGGACGGGCAGTCGGACAGGTCGGAGCTGCTGTCCGTGTGGCTGATCCTGGCGCCGGGTCCGCTGCCCAGCCCAGCGGCCGGGACCAGGGAGCCCGGCGGGGCCAAGGAGGCGCATCGCTTGCCCTTCCTGCCTTTGCTGGGGTCGCCCCCGGGCTGCCTCCCGCCGGCCTTGGCGCCCGCCTGATCCTGGGCCCGGGCTGCCTTCTTGCTCGAGAGGGCGGATTTGGCGCTGCCCGCCTTGCCAGGCGCGCCGGCAGCGAGGCAAGCCGCCGCCGCCGCCTTCGCGCCCTGGGCGCAGCTCCTCCGGGAGAGGCGGCTCTGCGTGGCCAGCAGCCCCGGCGAGTGCGGGCGGGCTCCCGCCTGCGGGGACTGCGGCTTGCCGGAGAGGCTGGGGGATTTGGGGGGCACCGGCGGGGGCTTGGCGGAAGCTGCCCGGGCGTGGAGGTCCTTGAGGAAAGGTCTGGCCGGGGAAGGCGCCCGGTGGAGCCTCTTCTTCTCGGCGAAGGAGTGGTGCGGGCTCTGCGGCGACGGCGGCGGCTTCAGAGCCTCGCCGAGGCTGGTGCCGTTCAAAGTCTCCATGGTCCCGGCTGCCCGAGAAGACGCCGGGGAGGGGCGGACACTTGCGGCTCCTCGAGCCCTTGCCGAGCGCAGGAGTGTGAGTGGCGGAGGCGACAGTCCTCCCGGCAGAGCCCCGCAGCAACAGCGCCTTCCTCTAGTTTTCGCCTTTGCTCTCTCATCACTCCTGCTTCCACCTCGCCCACCACCAAGCTCACACTTTTTCCTCGGTCTGATTCAGCGAGACGGGCTGCTCTCCTCCACCCCTCGGTCAGAAAACAAACACACACAAAGCACAATCGGTGGCAATCTTCCTCCCCCCCCCCAGCTCTTTCCAATCCGCTCGATGCAGCTCACGGTAACGTTGCAGCCTGCAACATCGACTCCTTTTTCATTATGTCCGACGCAGACAAGTGTTTTCCGGATTCCTTCTCCGCTTCGCCAGCTTCGCAAACCGAGACCGTCATTCATTCATCATTCCCGAGCCACCCTCTTCTCGCCGTCCCTCGCTTTCGTCGCCACTGCACCTCCCGATCAAGCCAGCTCTTTGCTCCTCGCCTTAGCTCCTGAAATAGAGAAAACTGCAAACGCTGCTGTCTCCCGTACTGACGCTGCCCCTCTGTGCGCATGATCCTCCCCTTCTGTCACCCAGCCAAGCTGCTCTCAGCGCGAGCCACTTTTTCCTAGAGCTCTCTCTTTCTGCATGCGTATTTATTGAGGCTCCTCGGCCAGTTTCAGCCTATGATAAACCTGGATTGCGCGGAGGAGGGGGGCAAGAGATGATGGAAACTTAATTCTGTAGCCATTGGGGTGTATTGTTGCAACCTATACACTTTCCTAATGTTTATTCCTTGGCAAAAACAAGCCCTTTGGTGCTGGGGCTGCAGCCGCAGCAGCAATAGCAATAAATCTGTTCTGCTACCACTGCTTGCCTGTAGCACAGGCTGGCATCAGAACAGGTTTTATTGCCCGGAAGATAAGCAACTCTTGTCCAGAGGATGAGCACTAAGAAAATCTCCAGTAGACTGATGTTGACTGCAATCCCCAAACTGATATCCTTTGCACTTAAACTTGATAAAGCTGTTTCGGTGAGCTGGAATGCCTAGAACTGCAAGTCAAATAGATTTGGGCCTATTCATCATCATTTTTAGAACCATTAAAATATGAGAAACAGAATGGTTAAAAGCAGAACACAATACAAGATAATCAAATCATTTTTTAAAAAATCCACCCTGCTCCAAAAATATGTCTAACCCCAAAAGGAAGGGGGAAAAGAACATTTTGGAATCCTATCGCTGTGATCTGAGCTAGGTAAGTAGACAACTTCCCCATTCATTTCCGTGGGACCTTTTCAACATACAGAATTCCATGATGCACCAGAGTGTTCATAAACTGTGGTTCAGGATAACTATATAAAAATGAACGAAACAAAGGATTACAACTAAGCTTTACTCAAAGTAGACCCATTTATATTAATGGGCCAATGTTAGATATGTTGGTTAATTTCAATGGGTCTACTCTGAATAGGACTCGCATTGGATACAAACCATGGGGTGGTATTCAACTACATTTTACCCAGTGTAAACCCATTGAAATGAATGAGCATATCTATGGTCCATTAATTTCAATAGACCTATTATCAGTGAAACTTAACTGAAAACCACCCACCATTTTAATTTTTTTTAAAAAAAGGTTACATTAAGTGAGCATTGAAAATATTCTGTTAGTCATTGAGAGTATTCTTCTACCACTCTTATCAGGAATTCAGAAGGGTAGTTCATGCAAAGGGCTTCAAGAAGAGAGCTTTTAATTAAAACTAGGCCAGCCAATGAAAAATTCAAAAGTTCGGGGAGGAGGGCAGAATCATGCTGAATGTTGTTTATTATGGTAGAAAAGCTTCTTGCAAGTAAATAAAGAGTGAAAGCATAGGAAATAAGGTAAAAATGAAGGACAATACACTTCAAGCAATATAGTTCAGTTGTGGGCCTTTAGACAAGTGCCATGGTGGTCACAGTTCTTAAGTGACAATGATTCTCATCTCTAATCCTTCACCCCCAGAGGCACACTCCATTGTCCCTTGAGGCAGGCGGATGCCAACAGCAATAACAACTATTCAATGGCACTTCATCATGATCAATATTTCTAGAACTGCCACAGTAATTTATGCAATGTGTAGAAATAGGAAAAACAGAAGATGAGAGTCTTAATAGCACCTGATTAAGCTGGGAGATAAAAAACCTCTATTATTACAAAGTCAAGGTGGTCTCATTAAAGATGATCCCCATCACCATCGTTGAAATGTGGGAGAATCTGATAATCTCACACAATACAGAGTGGACTTATCATTGGATAACACCTTACTGAGGTCAATAGCTAAAATGCTAGTGTCACTCAAATGTCATAAGACATGTTTGCACTGGGTCTTATATTGATACACAAATAATTTCACCAGCCTTGTTCCTACCTTTGGAAGGAGTCTTATGGCTTGGCAGTTTGCAAATACAGTGGTACCTCGGGTTAAGAACTTAATTCGTTCTGGATGTCCGTTCTTAACCCGAGGTACCACTTTAGCTAATGGGGCCTCCCGCTGCTGCTGCTGCGCCACCGCACAATTTCTGTTCTCATCCTGAAGTAAAGTTCTTAACCTGAGGTACTATTTCTGGGTTAGCGGAGTCTGTAACCTGAAGCGTCTATAACCTGAAGTGTCTGTAACCCGAGGTACCACTGTAGTGAAGTAAGTGTGTGGTATGGTTATTTGAAAAGAAAGAAAGAAAGAAAGAAAGAAAGAAAGAAAGAAAGAAAATAAATAAATAAATGTAAGATGCTTTGCCTGTTAGAATAAGTAGTACAAATGTGTTTCTGTTTGATTTTGTAGCACACTAGCAGGATATTATAGCCTAGGTAAATTGGCAGGACCCTACTATAGGCAGGGTGTGGTAGAATGTCTCCAGCAGCAGATTTTGGGGTACAGATTGCAAGCATTCAAAATATCTATTCCCCTGTCTATCCCAGGAATGAGATCTCTAGGACAGCTAATAATCACAATAAAGTGAATCACAATAGCACTGGGACTCTACTCCAGTATAGCTGTGGTCAGCGGCTACATATCAGGCTTTGGAGGAGACTTTAAAGACTCATTTGTTTCATTCCCCTTTCCTATGTATTTTTTTTCCTTTTTTGGACCCGCTTTTTTGAACCTGTAGGAGCCTGTTGTGTCAGGATTGAACTATTGTTATGTACTGTATGTGGGAAGATTGTTATGTGCTGAAGATGGTTCAGAAGCTGCAATGGTGCAAAATGCTGGTGGACATTACTGTCTGGGCCACGTATTCCATTAGTTCTTAAAGACCTACACAGGGACACCTGTTTGCTTCTGAGTCCAACTGAAGGTGCCCAGATTGACATAAAGTGCCCTAAACAACTTGGGCCCCGAACTTCCTCCCATATAGACCTGCCAGGCTGGCATATCCAGGGCAGGCCTACTGGCAGGTCCAGTTCCCTGCAAAGTTTGTGGGGTGGCGGTGCATGAGAGGGCATTCACAGATGATGAAACCCTCTCCCACCCTCATTGCACCTGGCTTCCTCATTATATACATTTTGATTCCAGGTCAGACCATTTTGCACAAGACTTTGGTGGTGGAAGATGAGATCAGAATATCCCTCCCATTTAATATATTTGTATTATATGGTTTACTTGTGATGAAATGTATGCCACTCACACTGGGGCCAGAGGCATTTGCCTACCCTTCACCAAGCAAGTCTTAGGGTGCAAAAATGGATTTAGGGCAGCACAAACAGTGCAGGGGCACTGGGCGTGCAGCTGAGGAGGGTGCCTTCTCCAAGCCCAGTAAGTGCTTGCCCAGCTTCAGGAAGGAGGCATGAGAGCTCTAGGACTCTGCCAGAGCCTCACACCTCTTTCCCCAAGCCCAGCACCTGGTTTGCCCAGCTTAAGCTGGCACCACAAAGGCTGGGGGGAGGGTGTTAAATGTTGGCCTCACACAGGGTGGCATATTACCAAGGTCCGCCCCTGCTAGGGAGGGATACAACAATTTAATTCAGAATTAGAAATGGTTAAAATAAAGTGCAGTCAGATAAATAGGGTGGGCTCTGAATAAGCAGTACAGACAGCAACACAATTATGTAATTAAAACTGTTGAAACAGTTTTTTACCTTCCTAACAAAGAAAAAGAGGGTCAGATTTCCTGGGACAAGATGTTTCAACACCCAGTTTCCGGTGCCACCACTAAGAAGGCCCCCTCTTGAGTGCTCACCTACCACTGCCACCTGCTGGGAACAGGATAGAAAACAAAGCTCTCTCTAATGACTACAGTGCACCAGCCAGTTCATACAGAAGTAGATGATCCTTCAGGTACCCTGGTCCCAAACCATTTAGGGCTTTAAAATATAGTGCCAATACTTTGAATTGGGCCTGGAAATATATCAGGAACCAGCAAAGGTGATTCAGTAGTGTGCAGCCAAGGTCAGGCTTTTGCTCTAAGCCTACCTGTTGCATTCTGAACTAACAGAAATTCCAAGATACTTTTCAGAGTCAGCCCCATACGAAGCAGGTTTCAGTACTCCATTGCATGTTAGCAAGGTCTTTCTTCTTTAGGAAATGATGCAGCTGGTACACCAGCCTTAGCTTTCCAAAAGCATGCCTTGCCCCAGCCACCACCTGTTTGTCTACGAACTTCAGCATGTTAGCCAACACCCAATCATTCATGGATACTCAGGACCTCAACAGCTTCCCTGTAGTGAAATGAAAGCGAGAAAGAGAGTTGAGTATCATCTGCATATTGGTAACACAAAACCCCGATTCTCCAACTGACCTCTCCACGGGTCAGTGTTAAACAACATGGGGAACAAGGTGGATTCATGTGAGGATCTCATTGGGAAGAGGAGCTGCCCCTCACAAGCATCTTCTGAAATCTACCTTCAGGAACTAAAGTCAGTCATATTTTTTATTACTATAATTTTGCCACCATCAATTCTATTTGTACTTTCTGCTTCAGGCACCAAAATGTCCTGAACATCTCTAGTATGCACTTACTACACCTTTTCCTCCAAGCTGCTCTGGGTGAATGCATGGTTCTTTCACCCATAGTTCTTTCACCCTCACAACAATCCTGTGGGGGTAGGTTGGGCTAAGATGCACCTCTCTCTCTCACTTTCTCAGATAAGTAAGTTAGGGTTTGTTTTCAGCAAGGATTGTGCTTTTTTAATGCACCAGGGGTAATTAGTAGCTTTCTCCTGCTCCTGCCCTCTCCCAAAGCTTTAGGATGTGGTACATCATATCTAACAAACAAAGAGTGTAACCAGAGTTAGGCTGAGAAAGAATGACTCATTCAAGACGAGCCATTGGGCCTCATGGCTGAGCAAGGGTTTCGACCAGAGGGACAAGGCTTGTGAAGGGGATGCTAATGAATTCATTATGATTGTTAGACTTGGTAGCATCTGCATTGTTCTGCTGGTGTATGATTATGTGCATGTGTTATTCTATAAAGCCTGTAAGTGCTAAACCATTCTGCAAAACAAAGGTTGGTGTTGTTTTGTATGCAATAAAATGGGTCTCTGCAGTGCTTTGCAGGAACCGCTTAATCAAATCCCCAAAACAACACTTTGCATTTATTTGT